CTCAACACAATCATAGATCCAATGTGTGTACAGTAGAGTCTCAACACAATCTAGATCCAATGTGTGTACAGTAGTGTCTCAACACAATCCTAGATCCAACGTGTACACAGTAGTGTCTCAACACAATCATAGATCCAATGTGTGTACAGTAGTGTCTCAACACCATCATAGATCCAATGTGTACACAGTAGTGTCTCAACACAATCATAGATCCAATGTGTGTACAGTAGTGGTTCAACACAATCTTAGATCCAACGTGTACACAGTAGTGTCTCAACACAATCATAGATCCAATGTGTACACAGTAGATTATCAACACAATCCTAGATCCAATGTATGTACAGTAGTGTCTCAACACAATCTTAGATCCAATGTGTGTACAGTAGTGTCTCAACACAATCCTAGATCCAACGTGTGTACAGTAGTGTCTCAACACAATCCTAGATCCAATGTGTGTACAGTAGTGTCTCAACACAATCATAGATCCAATGTGTACACAGTAGTGTCTCAACACAATCTTAGATCCAATGTGTGTACAGTAGTGTCTCAACACAATCATAGATCCAATGTGTGTACAGTAGTGTCTCAACACAATCTTAGATCCAATGTGTGTACAGTAGAGTCTCAACACAATCCTAGATCCAATGTGTACACAGTAGTGGCTCAACACAATCATAGATCCAATGTGTGTACAGTAGAGTCTCAACACAATCTTAGATCCAATGTGTGTACAGTAGAGTCTCAACACAATCTTAGATCCAACGTGTACACAGTAGTGTCTCAACACAATCCTAGATCCAACGTGTACACAGTAGTGTCTCAACACAATCCTAGATCCAATGTGTGTACAGTAGTGGCTCAACACAATCATAGATCCAATGTGTACACAGTAGCGTCTCAACACAATCAAAGATCCAACGTGTACACAGTAGTGTCTCAACACAATCTTAGATCCAACGTGTACACAGTAGATTATCAACACAATCTTAGATCCAGCGTGTACACAGTAGATTATCAACACAATCATAGATCCAGCGTGTACACAGTAGATTATCAACACAATCATAGATCCAATTGGTGCACAAAGTATAAAATACAGATATGTCTAATAATACAAATCTTTAAAACGCAGCAAAAGTTATGTATTAAGGCGATAACATTAGTGAAAAGAAACCTGAGGTTGTTTTCTATCTATTAATTTCCCTCTCGGTGGCGTTGAGAAAAAAAGTATTGTAAAATATATTTTGTATTTGGATTGTTGTACAAATGTTGTTGGAAATATTATATACAGTTCATATTAAAAGTTAACCCCTCTCTGTTTACAGTTCATATTTAAAGTTAACCCCTCTCTGTTTACAGGTAATATTTAAAGCTAACCCCTCTCTGTTTACAGTTCATATTTAAAGCTAACCCCTCTCTGTTTACAGTTCATATTTAAAGCTAACCCCTCTCTGTTTACAGTTCATATTTAAAGTTAACCC